ATACTGTTTGTTAATAGTGCTTTTCAGCAATGATGGCTCTTAACCGTAGAATTACCACCCAATCAGATTTTTAAACATATTTTCTGATCTATTTATGCAACAAACTATATGTGGGTGCAAGACTAGCACTGATAAAGTACTAGTCATACAAAGAAATGTAGACAAATATACCATCACATCAATTTTGCAGTTAATTCTACTAACAAATGAGTGATTGGAACTGATTGATTAGTTTTGTCGTTCTTTTTACTGAGTACTATAGCAGGCAAAACTAAAAGTACTCAACATGATACAGTACGTGAAACCCACTAATAGTGAGAAATATTTAACCAAGTCAGTAATTTGAGAGTTAAATCGCTCACACAAAGCTATCTCGATCTTCTCCTGCACTCTAAGCATTGCCAAAAAATTTCACGATCAGTGCACCAGTCTATAGACCCCATCAATTTCATGCCATTTCTCCACCCATATTGGCTAGCTTCCTCTGCTATTCCTGCTTAATCCTCACTTTCTCGATTAGTATAGCATTGTTTAGATGTGTTTTTTTGCATGTGACTACAATTTATGAAATTGCGTCTTTGCCATTTCAAAATTTTGTTTTCAACGATATTATTTTACTGTGTTTGCATTTATTTCCTGTTACCGAATCATAAGAGATCTTCGTATGAATTTGCGATCAATGTATTGACTACAGAAATTCCCGTTATAGTAGAAAATCCTACTGGTAAGACTTCCCAGGAATCGGATTTGAGATTATCTGCAGAGGAAGGATGTACAGGCCTTAATTTGCAGGTAGATAGATTCATATGTTTGGGGTGATTTCTTCCTCTTTTCAGTGTGATAATGTTTCTGCAGAAGAATACTATCAGTGAGAATATAATTTGAAATCTCTTTTTCTGACACCTTTTCATTCTGGTTTGTCACACCTTCCACCAATTGCTGTGCTGCCATGTCATTCATTTTGGTGGCAAATTGTTTTTCTCCCCCTTTCTACTTCTGTGGCAAGTTTTTCAACATGTACACTTCACTCCTTATTGGTATACCTGTGGTAGGCATGGCTTAAATGATCTTTCTGTGGCTTTCCCCTTATTTACACATGGGAGAATTAAGCATTTCAATGTCATCAGTACTCAGACTTTGATAAGTTTGATATTTATGTGTCCATTGTCATCGAAGTTACTTTAGATGAACTGTAAATTAAATTTAGCATATTACTTTGTTTTTTTTCAGTAAATGTAATCGTTTTGCACCATCGTTAATATTACGTACTTTATAGACTCTACAAATTTCATGGGTTTGTTTGTTCGTTATTAATAAATACTTTAACTGGGTATGTTTAGATTTCTGTAAGTTACGTATCATTACTTCTAATAACATGTAATTTGGTGTTCTATATGAGTATGTTTTTTTTCACATTGTTACCTATGTGCCTTCTCATTCTAATTTTAGTCAGTGTAGGACTTAATTATGTGTCCTTTGTCATCTTTGTTACTTTAGAGGAATTGTAAGTTAGATATTGATCATTAATGTGTTTTCTAGGTAATTTTTATCAATTTGCACATTCATTATTATTACATAATTTGTGGAGTAGGTAAATTTAGATGGGTTGTCCATATGATATTTATAAGTACTTTGTTAACTAGGTGCATTTCCCTAGTTTGTATATTACATGTCATTACTACTAGCACTATATACTTCATTGTTCCATCTGAATAATTTGTTTTCATAATTTTTAACTATGTTCCTTATCATCTTAATTGTTGTGTGTATGACTTAAATTTTTTTTGTGCTTTGTTACATTTGTGACATATTCATTTTTTCCCATTTGTAGGGCTGAGATTTGCTTTGGGTCCTTTTCCTACCTTTGTGATACTAGAAACCACATTTTTTCCTCTTAATCTACATTTTCGAGATTTTCCCTAGAGTGCCCACCTCGTCTATAATCATTTATTGCTCTAAGTTGTGTTTTCCAATTGAGGGCCTTACTGTTTGGACTAACCTCAGCTCTTTATGTTTTTTTGGGTGGGGGATATAAACTCTTGCCCGACATCTTCACTCTATCAGCCTTTGTACTATTTTTTTTTTCTATGGATGACAGGCTCCTGCTTGCTGATTCCCATTCACAGTCCAGAGACCACACATCTATGTCCCTACAGGATGCAGCATGAGTGGGATTCCTGATGACAGTGGGGAAGTCTGTTTTTACCCCTTCTCAATACCCCATTTATTTGGGTTTTTTTCTTCTTTCCAATCTTAACCTTCTCTTCAGGTTTGGACCAAGCAGTTCATACATCTCTTACCTCATATTTCTCATAGCTCAAGATTTTCTATCCCTTTGGGGATGTGGGCTTCCTTGGAAGCTCTCTTTCCCATGGGTTTGACTCATATGTATTCCCTTCGGGTTTGGACCAAGCAGTTCATACATCTCTTACATCATATTTCTCATAGCTCAAGATGTTCTATCCCTTTGGGGATGTGGGCTTCCTTGGAAGCTCTCTTTCCCATGGGTTTGACTCATATACATTCCCTTTGGTGAACACTCCTATATCAGTGGAACTTCTCCTTGGATCCCTGGCTTAGTGGTTAGACAGAAGCCAGACCACAGTGGGGGTGTCACTTACTCCATTTCATCTGTATTTACCTCTCCTCCCACGAGATTTGAGGTATCTGGTCGATCAAGGAGTCTTCTCTCTATATCACTATTCTCAAGCCTTTGGCAGTGCATCAAGTGTTGTTTAACTAGCTTCCCCTCTTAAGGGGAAGGGGGTATGGTACATTCCAACATTTCCACAGTGGTCACTTATATCACAGAGCCAGGGGGTATCAATTTTAGGTGTCTGTGCTTTCCTCTCCTGGATCTCCTTTCTGGGCTCACTGTCATCACTATGTGGTCTTCACTTGCCTTTTTCCTGGCTCCTTGACTCTGGAATCTCTCTGACTCCTTGAATCTTACCAACAAGATTATCCTCATGGAGAGGTCTCTCGATCCACAGGTTTTTAGGTGTGTGCGTTCTTAGCTGCGGACACCTCACATATGCCTTTGTCACCCACTGGAAGGGTCTTCACATCTATGCTTACCCTCCTATTTGACTCTTCTACAGAGTTCTATCCTAATTCCAAATCACTCCATGTCTTGTCCTACTGGTGGCTCCTTCTTGGCTGCTGCAGCTATTGTTCCCTCTGATCCAACTTTTACTTGTTCAGCCTCCCATACCTTTACCTCTGTCTCAGCCTCTACTCTGCCAACCTCACTCAGACCTTGTTCATCCAGATGTCACCAGACTCCATCTTCACCCATGGCTTTTGTCAGGTCCATTGCCTCCGCCCATGGACTGACTCCTCGTGTTGCATCTTTCCTTTCCCATTCCGTCAGACCTTCTTCAATGACCATTTACCAACCACATTGGTTGACCTCCTGCCTTTGGTTTAATTGATGAGGCTTCAGTCCTTCCCATCTTTCCATTCCTCATATTTCTAAATTTTTCATATGGTTGTTTGACAAATGCTTGTCTGCTTTGACCTTGCCTAGCAAACAGGAAACCTTGTCCATTTTAACAAAATTTCGTAAAGGTTTGTATTTTCTTTCCTTTCAAGTCATGCATCCTCCACGTTTGATTTGCCTGATTGGGATCTCAGTGTGGTCCTTTATGCTCTTTCTCATCACCCTTTGAACCTTTGTCTATGTGTTGCATATACCATCTCTCCCTCAAGACCTATTCCTTCTCCTCCATGCTTGTTCGGATATTTATGCTAATAATATAACCCACATCCTTTACCATTTCTCCTATGTCATCCTCTATCTTGACCAGTCCTTCCTCCCTAAGACCTATGCTGCCCAGGAAGGTGATTTGGCTTTCTCACACGTGTTTCCTTACGTTCCATTTCCCATTTTTACTCCCATTCTGATCCTGCTTGGCTTCTTTGTCAGGTTTGCCCCTTTAGTTTTTTATGTGACATGTACTGCTTCCTTTCAGGGTTCATGTTCCTGCCTTTTTATTCCCTAGAACCATTCTGTTTCCCTTGATCTGTCCCATTTCACTTACTTGTGAGGCTGGCATATTCTGACTTATCTATGGAAGGTTGCAGTCTCCATAACATTTTTTCTCATCAAATTTGTCACATCACTATGCTCTTGGCTGCACGAGTTTGATGTCCTTTGGAAGAGATCTTTTGGCCAGAATGTGGATTACTCCCAATACTTTTGTTGCTCATTATCTGTATGATCTGGCTTTATCTTCTTCTTGTGGATATCATCTCCCTCCCGTGGTGATTCTACACACGTCCATTTGCTTTTGATTGGGGTAAGTTATATCACTTCATTTCATTTATGCTTTTCTTTCAGAAACCCACTGATAATGTGATACCATTCTGTGGCAGATGTTGCCTGGTCAGTTATGCTTTATCTCAAACTTGCTAATATTTACTGGTTGCACTATAATATTCATGTAGAGATGAGATGTTCTGTAAGACAACTGGTGGCTTATATATAGATATATGTTTCTAGTTATACATAAGTTTCCTTCAATGGTGGATTGCCACTCATGGACTCGTGAGTAAAGCAGAAGGGGATTTTTGGCCATCCCTGCTGACCCTTTGATTGAATAAATTTGGGACAGTCTACTTTTCAAAATAGGGAATCATCGACACCATTGCACTTTCTCCAGTGTGACATTCCTCTGGACTTCCCACTGCATTTACTTCCCCCAATTTTTGTTCCAATGGAGCACAGGAGTCTTTACCACTTCCCTTCACTGGGGTGGTGGACCATGGAGTCTTCCTCCTGAGTGAGTTAGAAATTTAATTTACCATACATACTCATGATTATACACTCAGGGAGAAGAGGGCAAAGCTGGTTTCCTACTATTTACCCTGGATGCTTTTTCTCAGGTGGACAGCAATAGAAATAACAATAAAATAGTAGGTTAGAGCAGGTCCATGTTCCTATAGTTGTGTGCAGTAGAGGCCCCTCTTCTTGTTCATTCTGGTAGCAGGAGGTTCTATTCCTGCTCCTACGGTTGAGTTTGGGGGACTTAATCTGCCTCATAATGTCGGCTACAGGATGTACGTACACTGTTCCTACAGTTGAGCAATTGTTGCAAATCTTTGTTGTAATTATGGATGCAGAATTTTCTTTCCTGCATTTATGGTTGAGTGAGCTATGACTTCTGTTCATAATACTGGTTATATATTACTGGGTTTGTTTTGTTATACTTTTAGTTCCAATGGTTGTTTTGAGGGTTTGTCTGGTTTTGATCGAAAGCTTACTTCCTCTTTGTAATTCTGGTTGCTTGATGTATGGCACTCTGTTTACTTACAGTCAGGGTTGCTGAGTTTATGTAACACGGTCCATATGCCCTTGCCACTGTTTTTATGTTTCATTGTTTTTTTTTATTCACAACTTCCTAATACCGAGGACGAGTTATGAACCATCTCTGTCTGGTTGAGTTTGTATATGTACATGGTTAATTCTGTTTATATCTTACTCTCAGAACGAATTGCATTTGTGCACATCCTCTTAATGCTGAAGATGAGTTATGGAAGCTTGTCTGTCTGGTTGAGGTTGTGTATGTATCTGCCCATATCAGATTCATTTCCTACTTTAAGGGCAAAGAGCATAGCTGTTCCAGGAGTATTGTGGTACCCTACACATGTGCTTAGTTTATCTCATAGCACACGTGTTCATTCTGGCCAATCACTTTCTGCTTGGTTTCTATGTTGTGTGCCTAAGCTACCCCTTCCACCTTTGCAATGTGGGATTCTAGCTTTGTGTGAGACGAAGTAAATTCGTATCGGAAGTTAACATTTTTCTTATACTGAAAATATATTTCTGATAGGTACTTACCTCCTCTCACACCCTTTCTTCCCATGGCTGGTGTTCTTCTTTTAGGACCTGCCAATTCTTGAAAGTGAGGATTGAGTGGGAATAGCAGAGGGAGCTAGCTGTGCCAACATTGGTGGTGCAATACTATTGGTGGAGAGTAGTCACATGACATGTACATGTTCAAAATGGCATGAAAGTAATGAAGTATGTTGACTAGTGTGCTGATTGTGAACATTTTTTAGCAATGCTTAGAGGGCAGAAGATTGTGTGAGAGAGGGTAAGTGCCTTTCGAAAATATATTTAATGTTAACATTAAGTTGTAAGTGTGTACACTTCATACACAAAATTTCTTTCACAGATCATTTGACTCAGTATGAGCGTGTGTGTGTGTGTGTGTAACATTAATAATAGATCTTGTTTTCAAACTGTCACTGAGCACTTACATTTAACATTAGTAACTGATCTTGTCTTCATATTGTCATTTAGCACATGTGCATAATAGCAGTAACTGATATTGTCTTCAAACTGTCATTGAGCACGTGTGTGTAATAGAGGTAACTGATGTTATCTCCAAAATCTCACTGAGCACTTGGGTTGAATCAGATGGTTAACAATATCTAAATGGGAAATATTTATAGTCTAGAAAGATAAAACATGCCAACAAATATATCTCAGTACTATAACTTTAGGCCAGACATTATAGAGTAATTTTACTTTGCAATAACAGTTTGAAGTGATGATCAGTTACCTGTTACACACTGAAAATCATAAGTTGGTATTTTTTCTTTTTTTGTTCCCATGCCCTAACTAATTAGAGTTGATGTACTGCCATCATTAACTGCAGCTGGAACGTATATTTTCCAGTGCAGTGAAAGGGTATGATAAAACTGTTTTATTATGTTATTAAAGAAAAACGAAATTAGTATTGGAGAAAAGTATGTTATTAATAAGAATAACATGTTATTATGGTGTTTAATACGAGCTACAAACAGTGTTTGTGTAGACAGCTTGGACATTTCTGAAATCAAATTTGTCTTGTTTACAAGAATTAGAAAAATCTTTATGTTTGAGAGAATCTGTTAAAAGTTCAGAACTGCATTGCATACAAAAACTTTGTGTTATCACAGGTGCAGGTCAGGGCTGTGGGGCTGGAGGACTGACAAGACTGAACTAGTTAATGGATATGATTGTAAGGTAAGATAAAGCAGAGTGTTGTGATGTGCTAGCTTGAGTCATTGGATTTTGTGGAAAAATAATTTTATCTGGCTACTGTTTAATAGTGTGTCATACTTGTAGGTATTTGGAGCTAACAATGAGCTTGAGTCATTGGATTTTGTGGAAAAATAATTTTATCTGGCTACTGTTTAATAGTGTGTCATACTTGTAGGTATTTGGAGCTAACAATGTTGAGCTGATTACAAGGACTCGGACAGAACACCTAACAGAAGCTGACAAGACTCATCAGCATTTGGTTCGTTCTCCTCTTCACTCATTCCTTGGCATTGTGGAGATGGAAGAAAGAGAATTAGCTTCTCTTCTCAATGGAGTAGGTTTGATGTATTATGAAAATATTTCTTTTTTATATATTTGTAGTTTGTGTTTTCGATTTTCTGTTCCACTTTTTTATTTTCACAAGTTGAATGGAAAATATTTGATGAAAGTAATTATGAAAGTAATTAACTATTAAGGTTACAAGTTTAATGTTTTTCAGGACAGACGAGAAAGTCGAGGAAACCCTTGCCATATAACAGCTGAGGAGTACTTTGACTCCAATGTCGATCTAGGTAACAAAGATGTTGGAAGGCCTCGAGAAGTGTCGTCCAAAATTCAAAAGTTTAAAGCAAATCTCTGGTTAGCTGAGAACTATCCTCTTTCACTTCCAGAACAGGTGTGTTATTGTGGTATTGAGAGTCGAGGCTAGTGATGGACAAGATCTTGTAGTATTTTGTAATTGTTAGAGTTATTTCTAACTGGCATAAATCTATTATTATGATTTGTGTATTCTAGAGAATTTACTTGCTAAAGAGCAACTGAAACAAGATGCCTTTAAACAAGTAGATTTATGTTTGTAAAAGTGGAAGTCTTTAAACAAGTAGATTTATGTTTGTAAAAGTGGAAGTCTTTAAACAAGTAGATTTATGTTTGTAAAAGTGGAAGTCTTTCTTTAAGAAGATTTATAAATGTTCAGTTGAATACCTAATTTTGTTGCTTGTTTCTTTGTTTTAGATTTTACCAATAATTGATCTTATGGCTATTAGCAGTACTCATTTTGCGAAACTTCGGGATTTTATAACACTACAACTTCCTTCTGGTTTTCCAGTCAAAATAGGTGAGTGTTGTGAATGATTAGGGTGTTAAGTGTTATGGATAGTTTTCTGTTATTCATTTCAAACTTATACCATTACAGTAATGCCATTGAAGGCACAATAAATAGTATATTAAATACATCCAAAAAACAAAAATCTGTTTGCAAATTCTGATTATTGGTATCTAAAAAATGAAAAGAATGTTACAAATTCTGGTAACCAAAGCAGCCTTGAAAACCATTTCTGAAATGTAGTTTTAGCTTGATGATTTCAACTTTTTACTTTAAGTTTGTGAAATATGTATATTTAATTTTTATTTTTATGTGCTTTAGAATACCTGTTTAAAATCCTCATATGTTAATAAAAATAACCATTTCTGACTATTTTCTTTAATATGAGGCTGGTTACTTAAGTCAATAACATGATTTTTAAAATCATTATTGAACTAGATTAATTTAGGTAAAGAATAAGCTTTGCTCAAGTTTCAAACTAACTGGTTGAAAACAAGAAAAAATAATGTTATTTTTACTGACTATTCAGTAGCTAGTTAGTTACAATTTCTTCTGAATATTCCTGTAAGCTTAAATGAGTTCAGTTACTACTGGCCATTCTTGTATGTTTAGTTAATTACAGTTACTACTGGCCATCACTTTAAGCTTAGCTGATGACAGTTACTACTAACTATTCCTTTAAACTCAGCTAATTACATTTACTACTGACCATTCATTTAAGCTAAGCTAAGCTAATTACATTTACTACTGACCATTCCTTTAAGCTAAGCTAATTACATTTACTACTGACCATTCCTTTAAGCTAAGCTAATTACATTTACTACTGACCATTCCTTTAAGCTAAGCTAATTATTTACTACTGACTATTCCTTTAAGCTAAGCTAACTACTTACTACTGATTGCTCCTGTAAGCTTAACTATTTAGATTTACTACAGATTGTTTCTGAAAGCCTTGCTAATTACAGTTACTATTGGCCATTCCTGTAAGTTTAACTAATTATATGTACTACTGATCATTCCTTTAAACTTAGCTAATTGTAGTTACTACTGACCATTCCTGTACACTTGGCTAATTATATTTACCACTAACCATTCCCTTTAACCCATTACCTGCCATGGCCATTTTGTCTTATTGTGATGGCAAAATTACATTTGTGAATTGAAAAAATTATAGAGAACTTATCTTTTATTGGATTTCAGATTTTATTTTTGTAAATAGTAGCATAATATTCAATTATTTGTACAAAATTGTATTATTTAATGTAGTTTAAAGAGGAATTTAATGAAAAAAAATCCTAAAATACGTTTGAGACTGTAAATAAGAGCCCTCTAAGAAGACTTTTTTTTCAAAATTTAAACAAAATTTTTCCTTCCACTTCAGCTCTGGTCCTGTCATCTACGATTGGTATCTAGACCTTTTTTCTAGTCTGTTTTCTTTATAAAACAGCATCTGGGCATCTTAAACCTCAGTTGTAAAACTTTTAGCCAATCCTAATCGAAGGTGTCAATTTCTGTACCATGTTATTCCAATCACTGTATTTCACGTTTGACAAATCATAGGATGATAAGCAAAGCACATGACAAAACATTGTTCTCTGGATTTTACAGTATGAATGTGGGTGGTGCTTATTATAGTATCTGCCATTTTATGTAGAGGTTGTATTTAGTAGTGGCCAATAGTGCTTTTCTATAAGCATTAGAAAACTTGCTTCTGGAAAAAACTGCATGGGATGTACGTGACTTTTATTATTTTTCTATAGTAGCTTAAATCATGCTGCATCATATATCTGTTTATATTAATCATTATATTGAAAAATTAACTCAAAATAGATATATTTTTAGGAAAGAAGTTGATCCACAATTGTTAGGATTAAGAGCTATCGAGTGGCGAGTGCAAGATCTTTACATGAATTAGGCTTAGCCCTATGAACTGAAAGAGTTTGATTTTTATTTTCTTTTACATTTAAATTAGTAGTTTTAAGTTCAATAACTTAGCATAATTTTATATTTAGTTCATGATGATAATAATATGATTCAGTATTTAGAATGATAAACTTGTGTGATTTGTACGTAATACTACTAGTACCAGTACCACATAAGAATTTTATATTTTTCCTTCTTACAATATTTACTTTGTAGTAAGACCTACACTTCTATTGTTGTTGCTTTAGAATTAAAACAGTCTAACTGATATATATAAAGTTTATTCTGATATTTTGCAAAAGGTTGAAAACTCAGTGTACAAGTAACAACAATAAAACCCATATATTGGTTGTGAAACAGACTAAATACATTTATCTCAATAATACAGGGAAGCTATGACATTCTCACAGTTGGGGTGTCAATACACTGAAGAGCTTAAGTTTCGATTTTCCAACATAAATCTTGCCTATAATGAAAGGAATGTGACCAGGACTAACCTTTTAAATGCTGTAAAGTAATTTTCTTTGTAATTTATGGTGTCTGTATCGTTTGGTAATCTCTTCTAACAGGATGTATCAAGTAACTAGGCTCAAGCGGTGTTACTGAAACCACCTGTACTGAAAACTGTTACATACATTCGCTAGTAGTGGCAATTAGTTTTGTCTGTATAGTGAAACAACATACACAAACATATGTTGAAATAAACTTGTTTGAAAGTTCAAAGAAATGATATTCAAGTACCAAAAAGCTTTCTTACTATCATATCTACAGTAATGTTGAAATGTGCCTGTGCTGGACTGACCGAGAGTAACCACCAACAGGCATGATAGTTTATGGCAAATGTACAAATTTCATGCTGCTAACCTCACGATTTATTCAGCACAATAAACAAAAGTATGGCTGCAATGAAACATAATCATAAACTTGAAATAAAAATATATTTATGAAATAAAATTAAAATATTTTTATGTACATATATAAACATGAAATCCTAGTTAAAATAAAAATACTCATTTATTGTTTAGATTTATTTACAAATATTATTTTCGGGTCTTGTATATTATTTGAAGCCATAAGGAGAGTACGTAATTATTAAGAAAAATTAAAAATAACAAAAATTTGCATTTCATTGACTATACAAATTTTTAGGGATTTCAAAATAATTTACTAACACATAAAAAGTAATCAGTTCAAATCTGGAACAAATATAAATATTGTAATAATTTTTTATAAATACCATTTCCTAATGTAATTTTCCAAGATATTAAAAATCATAATGCAAAAATAACTAAATTTATCAAAAGTAACAGGCTTTATGTTTCTTAAATTACATGCATTGATGAAAGTGCTTATGAAGTTTCAAACAGTTTCATCCACTAGTTTTATTGTTTGAATGAAATATAGCAAGACTTGCATTGGCTACTCAGAAAGTTAGTAGCTGGTGGACATCGGGTTAAGCTAAGCTAATTACATTAATTACTAACCATTCCCTGTAAGCTAAGCTAACTACATTAACTACTGACCATTCCTGTGTGCTAAGCTAATTACAGTTACTACTACCCATTCCAGTACTCTTAACTAATTAGTTACTACTGACCATTTCTGAAAGCTAATCTAGTTACAGTTATTACTGACCATCTTTAGTCACTTAAGGACTACTGCTTTGTCTGGCTTGAAGGGCTCTAAATTGAGAGAAATGTGTTGTAGGCAGTGGATATGACATATACAGTGTGGTTGGAATACTATTATCATATGCATATCTAATTCACTAAAATCACTAAGGGACTAGACTAAGAATGTATTGTTTAAAAATATAATAAGCCTAGTACTAATGTCTTATGGCATATCATATATTACTGATTTAAAAATAAATTCTTTTTGGTGAAATACCTTTATTTCATGTGTTACATGTATATTATTAACATTATTACAATTTTCCCTCTCAGAAATACCATTGTTTCATGTGTTAAATGCTCGTATTACGTTTGGAAATATTTTTGGGTTGGATGAATCTGTTCCTGGTGTCACACCAATAGTGGATGATAACACTAAAGCTTGTGTTGTGGATGAAAGTTGTTTTGATGCTCCAGCTTCATACACAAGAATTGGTAAGTTTGTTCTACTTCTTTTTATTTGATAATGCATTTTTCCAGTGACGTTCATAATCTTAATTATTTTTTTTTTTAAAGAAGGACAACCCCCTTTTTTTTAAACAAGCTAGGTTTACACATAATTTATAGAAGTCACTAGTTGCACCGTTTGCAATTATGATTTAAAACAAGATACTGCATGAATTGTGTTGAGAATTAAGTCTTTCCAAGCATGTTATTCGATAAGAAACTAGAATAGCTGTAGAACAGGTTGAAATTTTCCAGCAAGATCAGGATAACCTTGTACTAATGATATATTTCTGTTTAGTGCTCAAAATGATCTGGGTAACTTCCCCTCCACTGTGTATAGTATCATGTGTTAAGATTTTACCTGGCATTGTAAGCCATCCTCAGGCATTTTGTTTTCTTTTATATTTCTGTTTTGTTACAACCCTCACCTTTCATTCCTGGCTGTATACTTTTCGACCACACATTTTTTCTGCCTGGTGTAGGGAAAGATGTCGGTAGGCATTCCCGCAGACCTCCATCTGTAGATAAGGGCGAAAGCCCACAACAACGTAGAGAAAGAAAACGTCAGGGACTTCTAGCCAAATATCAGATTCAAGAGAAATGCTCTCTGGTAATTAGTCAAATTGTATTAACATTGGTCTGTTTCTTATTTCTTTAACACAACCAAAGTAATTATACTCTTTCTTACAGCTTTCTACTGTCCCTTATTCTGCTTACCTGTTACTTTTACCCAGAAAGATGTCTGAGAATATTTAACTTGCTTTACCATACTGTTACACAACAGGATAATTAATTAGTGTTAATCCTACATTATCACACTGCTACACAACAGGGTAATTAATCAGTGTTAATCCTACATTATCACACTGCTACATAACAGGGTAATTAATCAGTGTTAATCCTACATTATCACACCACTACACAACAGGATAATTAATTAGTGTTAATCCTACATTATCACACTGCTACACAACAGGATAATTAATCAGTGTTAATCCTACATTATCACACTGCTACACAACATGGTAATTAATCAGTGTTAATCCTACATTATCACACTGCTACACAACAGGATAATTAATTAGTGTTAATCCTACATTATCACACTGCTACACAACAGGATAATTAATTAGTGTTAA